ACAGTCCCTGCTGCCAGCAGCCCCTGCCTGTGAGGGCAACTGCCCAGCAGTGTGAGCCCTTCCACTGTGCCCCAAGCTCCACGGGTGCCTGGGGAAATTTGTGTCACCCTTTCTGTAGTGGCAACAAACCCGTGGAGATACCTCGCTGTGGCAAAGCCCATCCCAGGCTTGGGACTTAGCAGCTGGGTGAGGAGTTGGGTGAGGTTGCTGGCAAAGCCAACAACCCCGGTCAAGAGGAAAATGAGTCAAACGGGGCTGCACACAGGGCTGCCACCGCCACTTGCTTCCGAAGGTTGGCAGCAGGGGAGCTGCAGCCACTTTTGGGGTGTCTCTTTGGATGCCCTGTCCCTGCTCCAGTGCACTGCTGTCCCCTCCATCCAAACCCTGCCACACTGCAATGGCCAAGGGCACTGAAGCACTGTGGCCAAGCTGCTGGGACAGGCAGGGGAGAACTGGTTATTAAATCGACTAATGCAATACATTGCATTTTTTAATTAATCCATATCTGGGATTTTGGAGGACTCCTAGTTTTGACCCTCGCTCCAGAGAAGGAAATAAAAAGGCGCTGGGCTCTTCTCCTGGCACGTGGTCTCTGCCCGCAGCAGGACCTAGTGAGCCTGGGCGAGGGACTGGGGGACACACCAGGGGATGGTGTTTAGTGGCTGGGCACATGTTTTGTCACCTGTAGACAAGCCAGGCACAGGCATCAAAGGGATCTGAAGAGAGAAGACCTTCTAGTGGCCTTCCAGTACCTGAAGGGGCTCCAGGAAGGCTGGGGAGGGACTTGTGACAAGCGCAGGGAGTGACAGAACAAGGGGTGATGGCTTTAAACTGGAAGAGGGGAGGTTTAGATTAGACATTAGGAAGAAATTATTCACTGGGAGGGTGGTGAGACACTGGCCCAGGTTGCCCAGAGAAGCTGTGGCTGCACCTCCCTGTAAGTGTTCCAGGCCAGGTTGGATGAGGCTTTGAGCAGCCTGGTCTAGTGGAAGGTGTCCCTGCTGATGGCAGGGGAGCTGGAACTGGATGAGCTTTAAGGTCCCTTCCAACCCAAACCAGTCTGTGATTTTATGAGATGCCAGAGGTCACAGCATGGAGTCAGTGTCAGAGGCAGTAAGTAGGGTTGACACCAGGGCAGTCAGGAAATGCTGCCGCTGGTGATGTGCCTGCAGTGGAGTGAAAGGTCAAGCTGCTGAGCTGAGCTGGGGCTGCTGGAGGCCACCGCCTGCCTTTACTAGGAGCCCCAGCCGGGCTCAGCTAGCAGCCCACTCCTGTCCGGGGGGGGGGACACAGTGGGGTGGTGGGGACTGCTTTCCTGGCACTCCATTCCTGCAGGCACAGTTAGGTGAGTGCATGGACATCCTGGGCAGGGCAGAGCCCCGCATGCTCCAGCCAGGCTCTGGGTGACCTCCTGTTTGGTGGCCACAACCACAGCCAGACCAGAGACCTGCCCCAGGGGCTTCATCCCTGCCTTCGCCAGGAGGAGAGCATCCATAGGACTGTCAGCCTTTCCCAGCCCAGTGAGGCAGATGGAGCCAGCCCATGGATTCGGCTAGCTTCCCATTCCCTGCATTTCCAAAACATGTTTACCATCTCTTGGCCCATTAAATCAGCACCTGTGGGCAGCCCAGCCTGCACTGCCAGCCTGCAGAGGAGCAAAGTGGTCCAGAACACATCCTCACCAGGAAGGAGGAAGGCAGAGGGCAGCTGGGCTCTGGGCAGAAGTTCCAGCTGTCTGCAGAAAAGCCTTCCATCAGAGCCATTCCCAGTGCCCACCAGGATGGTGTGGAGCCCCAGCATGCAGAGCTGCCTACTGTGAAAGGCAGCAGGACTGGAACAGGGAGTGACACAGCAAGGCAGGGACACAGCCAGTCAACCTGGAGCAGAAGGGTGTCCTGCACAGCAGCTGGAAGCGTTATTTGCTCAATAGACATTGAAAAAGGCCAAAGTTTGGAATCTCTGATTTTTCTGGCACTCCCACAGCGTTAAGGTTCAGGTTTGCACAAAGCAGAGCCAGTAACTTGTTTCCCTGTCTCTGGGACTCAGGCCACTGCAGCAGCTGGAGCTTTTACTCTCCAGCTGATAACACACAAGGGTGCCTGTTGTCACTCACCCACTTCCCATCTGCCATAGCCACAAACTTTAGCCCTTCTATCTCAGGAAGGGCTGGAAAGCCAAATTATTGCTGCATTCCCCCTTCCCATACCCCAGGTTATGCTGCCACAAAACTTACCGGCTGTGAAAGAGGGATGAACATTCCTCCAGTGAGCATAAAGCTTATTTCATACTTTACCAGAACTAACTTTTGGCTAAACTAGGCCAAAAAGTTCTGTAGACTACTCACTGCCTGGCTTAAGTGCACATTGTAGGACCAGGAGTGGAAAGCAGTAGTTTTAATGCTCCCCTTTGAAAACTGAAGGGAAAAGGGCTGGAGGAAAGCAGGTTTCCTGCAGGGGGAAGCCCTTTCTCTCTACTAGAGCCAGCATCTCACCCTGATCTCAGCTCCTCCTGGGGAAGATAAGGGAAGAGGAAAGAAGTGGTTTGGGGGTTATTTTTACTGCAAAGTGAAGAATCAGTCCTGAACCCTCATCTGAAATGATGCTTGCTGGAATGACCCCAGTCCCAAGGGCCTGCAGCCTCCCCAGGCACTGCTGGGATCCCCTGCAAGGAGGTGTGAGTCCGCCACTTGATTTTTTTTTTTTTTAGCCAATTGCTGGTTTAAAACCAGGAACTGGTCTCATTTCAGTAGGACTGGGACAATCAGTCCCAGATCAGTGTCCAGAGTGGCTTCATTCATACTGCAGGCAGCTTTGCTTGATGAGCAGACACCCAAACATCACATCCCTTCAGGGATCAGCGGGCAAAGATATAAATCTCCAAAGAAAGAGACAGCAGTGGCCTGGCTGCAGGGCAGATCCTGCCACCAGCCCTTGGCATCACACTGCTCTGCTGCACCCCAAGGATGGCATAAGCCGATCCAGCAACCCCCGCCAATGCACTCAGGATCTTTTCCACCATTTGCAATACCCCACTAGCAAGGGCATGTTGCTACGTGCAACCTTCAGAGGCCTGACTCCTTTCCACCTCTGTCATTAAATAAACAACTCAAGTGTTTGTTACAAAGTGTTATTTATTAGAATATTACATTGCACTTAAAAAATAAGGGAAGTCTGACCCTGTCATCTTGACCTACACAAAGGATGCAGGGCCACCACCATTTGCAATACCCCACTAGCAAGGGCATGTTGCTACGTGCAACCTTCAGAGGCCTGACTCCTTTCCACCTCTGTCATTAAATAAACAACTCAAGTGTTTGTTACAAAGTGTTATTTATTAGAATATTACATTGCACTTAAAAAATAAGGGAAGTCTGACCCTGTCATCTTGACCTACACAAAGGATGCAGGGCCAGACCTACAATAAATATAAATACTATGTACAGTTTATCTAAAATAAATATATAATTTAAAATGAAAAATATCTTGTTAAATAGCTGTTACCCTCCCACCCCTCCTGTGCCTACGAAAGCCCCAAG